TATTTAAAATTTTATTAAAATTATGTTTTTTGAATTTACATGTCCAAAAATGTAAAATCACAAGATTAAGACTAATCTGATGATCGTGTGATGCAGTAAAGATTACGACTGCTATCGTAGAGCCCTGACCAGACGTGAGAGTATTAATAGTGGCACCGGTAGTGGTATACTTATTTTGGTCACTCATAGCTAATTGTAACTTGTGACTAAATTGTGTGACCAAATTTCATTTAACATACAGTATTTCTATTATGTGTTTAATAATCCTTGTAATGTATTAATAAATATTCACATTTTAATCCAAATTGAAGATTATTTTTAAAATAAAAAGTTATTCATTAATAAAACATAGTATATTAGTGTTGTAGAAAATTATTAAGTTTAGTAATACTATACATCACTATTTAGTGGTTTTTAAAAATTCTGGACTGATATAGAGAATATTAGACTGTTATGAGAATATTATTAGCAAGACTTGTATTTTTATGACTATACTTTGTCCTTTTAATAAAAAAAACTACCACGGTTAAAATTATTAAATGCTATTATAATACGCTAACATTTACTGTTTTGAAACATTAAAAATTCATAAAATTGATATCATTTATAAATTATAATAAATAATAATCTATAAGAACCACAAATTCACGTGTTTTAATGAATCTCATTAACATTGTGACCATTTTCTGAACTATGTAATAAAATGGTAACTTAACTTTACACTCAATACTCACTGATAAACCAAATGTAACCCAATGTCAATGAAAAGCATAATACGGTTAGTATTGGGTTTTTATAAATCATACTATAATAAAATGATTATTAAATAAAATACAGTAAGAGTAGTGGCAATGAAAAGTATAGTATAAATGTAACATGTAACATTATACAAATGTAACATTTCATCACAAATTCAGCGTTCATTCAACCGTTCGTTCAAACATTATATTAGAAAAAAATCTGTTATGAATTAAATCTTTCAAAATATGTTTCATTCGCATAAAGCCATAAAATTGTCCAAAACTTACAAAAACTATTAGAAGTTTTTAATTAGAGGTATAAAAACTATATTCACTGCAAAACATAAGTTTATTTTTTCATACGAGTTGGTTTAGGAATAGACAAAAAACAATATTTTCTACAAAAATATTTTTTAAACAAAAAATGAAGATTTTATTAACGCTACTGACGATAGCCTTATCGGCGGCACTGATTGGTGCGGGAGATGTGCTGACACTCGAAGAATATTCTGTAAAATTGGGTGAATTTGAAAACGGCTTACAAAGTCACGCCGTTTATGGTCAGAGAATCGGAAACCATTCAGATCTTGAGCATCACATCAAGGTGGGATCAGGTGGTGGTGGTGGTGGAGGGGTTGCACCTCTGCCCTGGCCCGCAAAGACTCCTTTCTATATCAACCACCAGGCGGTCATCGATGAGTGCGTTTGGAATACACTCCAGAATCTGAGATTCCTGTTGGTTATCATCTCCACCTTCTTAGCCCAGTGGCAGACATACACCCCGATCATCGCCGGTGACATAACCCTGGCCACCATCTGGAACAAATACTTCTTGTCAGCCAACTCGGCATTCGCTCAGATTATCGCCATATTAAACAAAATGATATTCATTTTGAACAACTACTACCTTAATTATATCTCTCAAAAGCCATAAATGTTTTAATTTTATTAAATTATTTGTATCATTCATTTCTTTGTAATCTTTTTTCTCTATTTTGTATTTATTTAATAAGAATTAAACTCTTTTTCCACAAAATTTATTCATTTATTTTATAAAATTAAATTAGAAACACTATCAACTTTATTAAAAGTTTTATTATTAATTGATTTATAATTAATTAATTTACTGGCATCGTTATAGTATCAACAGCATTACAAATATAATATTGTATTTATAAATAATGTCATAAGTTACACTTTGCATTAATTAACAAATCAATGAACAAAATATTTAACTAATATTTATAGACTTTTTTATATTATATCAAATTATTCAATCTTATACCTAACGTTCATATTTCTGTATGTATAAAAATTATTCTTATTTATATTATCTTTATTAATTTTATATGCAAAATATGTATTTTATTATTATTGTTTTAACATTTATAAATCGCAAACTTTTATTTATTATTTGCGATATAGAAGTCCAATAATCCGTGGGTGAAAATGACGATTAAATTCATAAATAATTTTTATAAATAATTTTTGTATTCAAATCAAAGGTCAGTCAACTGGTTCAAGCAAATTTGTTATAGAAAATTTAAGTATATTAAAAAAATNTCGGCACTGTAATGAAGTTTATTTAATTTGATGGACCGGGCGGCCAGTTCCATGAGACTCGGCACGTCATACCTGGCCATACATCACAAACATTAATAGTTAAACTAAATAAACAAATAACAAACAATTAACGATGCCTTACATCATATCCCGAATGAACCGCATAACCAGCGGATTGTTTCTGAGGGACAGTTCCATAAGATATCGTAATTTAACGATTTGTGGCGGCAATGTAGTCAAGCAGTTGCGGTGGAGGGCGAGTGACCGCAAGGACTTCAACTGAGCGATAGTCGGCGGCAGACTTTTCAGTTGATTCTCGCACAGAGACAGCGACTCCAAGTGCTGCAGTCGGCCCACCTCTTCGGGCAGTTCCGACAGTTGATTGCCTCCCAAATACAGCAAACGCAACGATTCCAGGCGATGGATATCCCGGGGCACCGACTCAATGGCATTACTGCCCAAATACAGTGACTTCAATGACTTAAGCTCAAGAATTTGTTGAGGAATTACTTTAAACTGAAACAAATCGTATCATATCTTCATATTTGTGGTGTGTTTCATGGTTTGGATTTAAAATTAGGGTTTTATTAAAAGCAAAATTTTTATTTTATTTTTTTTCATTGAAATCTTCCAATGAATACAAGGATTGAATAATTTCTAAACTCATTTTGTGTTTGTTTTTTTAGTTTTACTCATTTATAAAAGCAATGATTTATTTATTCAGTGAATGACATCGAAAAGCATAAGTTAGCGACTCTTTGGCCTCATTTTTATAGCCCTCTCATCATATGATGAGTGAAAGTCTTTGCCAAAAGAGTTAAGAAAATAGGTTTTGAATGATAATCAAGTTTTCGTGTCATATACTGTAAATTTCACACTTATA